GGGAAGTCACCCAGTTAACCTGAACCATAATGGTCTTACCCCTTTCCTCCTCCCTAACTCAACCCTCGCCATGCTTTTCTGTGCTCTCTTCTCTAACCACATTGGCCTTCTTTCACTTTCCTAGTACTTAATTACTCCCTCAAGTCACAGGGCCTTTGCACATGCTCTTCCCACTCCATAGACTCTCTTTCCTCCCCTATTTACCTATTAATTCCTACTCCTCTTTAGGCCTCAGCTCAAGCCTTTTTTTTTTAAGGTCACATCCTATTGGAATTCCTACCCCATGGTAAAACAATCAGCGTTATTTAATTCAAATAGAAAATATTTTCATCAAATGCACTGAAATATGACTTTAAGTCAACCTAGAACCTCTAATATAAGCACAGAGTTCTCCACCCACCCCCCACCGCTTTTTTTTTTTTAACAATTAGTTCCTATTCTCACATCAGTGATACTGGACCTCACTATCTGCACTTGTCAGATAGATTTTCCTTGAAAAGATAGGTTTCTACATTCCCATAGACATGCTGAAAAGCAGACAGATGCAAGGTTTCATCATGCATCTGGAATTGCTTTTTATATAACTTGTATATAGAAAATAACCCATATCTTGTGGGAAAAGTTACAGAGCCTAAAATGTGACTAAAACAGTTGCCAGTCACACAGATTAGAATAGGTCCTGTTTCTGGTATTGAAAATATTTTTTTTTAAGATGGAGCAAAGAGAAGTTACATTATGGGTCATTAAAAAGAAGAAACCTGAAGTATGACAGACTACTTTTTGATTCATCACTGACACGGCAGTGGTTAATATTCAATATGGCTACAAATCGTGTGCTGTAATGTAAAGGTAGATTTAGTCCTGCGCTGCCACGAGTTAACTGTATAATCTTCACTCTGTTCTCTAATAGGTAACGTTAAGCGATTATACAGTACAAGCACTAAGATTCTATAAGCTTACTGCTTTTGAAACAGGGCTAGACATTCTTTCACCAGTCTCATTGTTGTCCTATACAATTTGCAGCCTCTATGTTATATGTCAGAAAATTAGTAGGCTTCTTATATTGTTCAGTGCCTAGGGATTTCCCAGTACATTGTTCTGTATTAGAGATTCAGACCGCTCCTGTGCTGGAGAAATTCACTGAGGGCTCTTTCTATGTGCGTTATCTCACTTGAGTCTCAGGTTATTTAAGCATTTTACAAAGGAATAAAACAGGTCTTGGAAAGTTAAATATCCTGCTCAAGGTCACATGATTGGCAAAATGGCAAAACTAAAATAACCCCAGACATTATAATTCCAATAATTTTTCTGTTGTGCTAGAAATAACCCACAAGGTTCATATGGCCAACATTCCAGAGGTGAAATTAAAATGACATCCTTTTATTTGTCATCAAATATTTTTAAGTCTCACAATACAGGAAGAAATAAAATGTTGCTCATGGCTAGGAAAGGCTTACAGTCTTACTGAGAGACATTGCATTAAAAAGATCACAAACGTTATTTTCCACACAAATATCTATGTTTGAGCTGCTAAAAAGGAGAGTCCCTAACTGATGACCTGAAGCAAAAGTGACGGTTTGCCTTCTGTGATCCATGAAATTAAACTTTTTTCCAGAGACTTCATCTTTCTCTTTCTTTGCCGTAGGCCCAGCCTCATTGAGCTTGCCTTGTGTTGCCTTTATGTGTATTTAACTTGTCAAGGCAAACAGAGGTTTTTTCAATGGTTACAGCATAAACCCAAACCTCTAATTTTGTAAACTAAAAACAGATCACAAGAACAAGTAGGGTGTTCGGGCACAGTTTGGTGCTTAACTTTCTCACATTGAACAAAGACATAATTTATTCGTCCCTACACATGATTTTGCTGAATAATTTCTGCACATATGTGTTGTACACATGCCACATATTCAGGAAACCAAGATAAACTCCAGCTTTAGTGGTCCTGGGTCTCCTTAACAGTCCCACCGGGGATTCTGCCCTGGGGAGCATGGTTTCCTCTCCATGTTTTCAGTTCTATTGCCCATTTCCCCATCTCAGATAAGATATATATATGCATCGATGCTTAAATATTTGAATTTTTAACTTACTGATACTACAACTACTTTTTGCACAATTCTTTGTGGTTATAAAATTCAGTAGCTTAACTGAATCTCACGGCACCCTCATTTAGCAATTGATCGCCACCGCCCTCCCCATTTTACGTACGAGGGCACAGCCCAAGGCAGTAAGTGTCTAACCTGCCTAAAGTTAAGCAGCTTGCAATTTTCAGAACTGGAAACGAAGGCCAGGATATCTTACTACAGCCTCCTTATGTGTTTCACTAATCCTTACATAGTACGTAAGTGACATTAGAGTTTGATTTGGGCATTTTATTGCAATAAGCCTATGGCATTTAAAAAACCTATCTAACTCCAACAGTATTTAATATTAATGAATCATGTTTGTTAGGCTGTTGCCTGGTACACTCCTATTCACTGGAAGCAAGCGTGGGAGAAATTAGAGACCGACATTGAATTTGACAGAAGCTCGATAGTGAGTTCAACATCTCGAAGGCACATGTTTCATTGGCCAGCAGCTCCAACAACTATCGAAAAACAAGATCAGTCTAAGACAGGTTCCTCCAAATGTCAGGTGGAGCATGTTCAAGCTTTTCTTAAGAGGTAAAAGTTGCTTGAGTTTTTTAAATTGAGTTCTTCCCATGATTAGTAAGTGAGCAGGTGGGAGTGACTGGGTGTCAAGCAGCTATGTGATGAATAGGTAAATCAATAATGACCCCCAAACTCCTATTTTGAATAGGACCATAAAAAACATAATAATTTTTGTTTTAAAATATAAAGAACACAGAGCAAGTAGGGAAATACCCATGGGACCGGCTGGCGATTTCCGCTAGGTGAGACTGAGACCCCTCTGGCCATTGCATTTCCTGATGGTGCTGCTGTGAGAGGCACGACCTTGGAGTCTTCAGCAGGGCTCAGGTGGAGGGAGATTAGCAGCATCTAGAATTTTCATCTTGGATCAGGAGCTAGCTGTGTAGAATTTATGTTTTTCATTTGTAGGCAAATGTTTCTAATGTGATAAAGGGGCTGCCCACAAAGTCTAGGAAAGCCACATTCTCTGCTCATGGGAAATGCTCATTCCACTCTTGCTGAGCCTTTATTACTAGTGCCACTGTGTGAAGTGCCTTTGGGGTTCAATTTGGGCTTAATTTTTCTTTTACAGAGAAAAAGAAATCCCACCAACCCTTTTTCCCAATCGCAGTCCTTGGTGCCACAGCCCTAATGTCCCTGCCCATCCCTACTGTCCTCTGATTGATCCTCACGACACCGGCATGGCTGGATGCAGCTTAGACACACAGCCCAGGTCTCAGTCAGCCAGGCCCAATCCAGCCCTGGTAAGTCAAAGGGAGAGTAAGTGGAGAGTAAGTGAGGAGTGTGTGTGTGTGTGTGTGTGTGTGTGTGTGTGTGTGTAGAACTGGTGAAAAGGAGATTAAGTGGTAAAAAATCACTAATTATTAAAAGCTGTTCATATCCTCAAGCATAGGTGGTTCCTAAAGCAAGTACTGTAAGCTGTTCACATTTGCACAGTGTCTTCTACTATTCCTGGTAAATTTCTGCTGAATAAATCAATGACTCAAAAGAATAGCATGGCCAGCAAGAATGCATGAGACTCTAGAGGTCCCATCAGGAGGACATTTCATTTTTCATTAGGCAGAATGAACTGGTCCTACAAGTTAGGCTGTGCTGAAAAATATCCATCTTTTACAAACACACTCTAATACTAATCCCAAATCCTTATTCTTTTTTGACCAGATACTTCTTACTTAAGACCTATAAGTAAAGCTTTTAAAGTTGGCGTTATTAGCCAAGGATCTGTTCATGGATTTCTGAAAGTCCATGAATCTGCTAAATTTGGAGCAGAAATGTATGTCAACATGATGTTTTCCGGGTAGAGAGTCCATGAGTTTCACCAGATGCCCCTAAATGTTTCAGAAGAACTGATTAGACCAAGTGCCAGATCCTAAGCTGTGAAGAAAGACTTGCATACAGCAGCTATGTGCTGGTGAAGTTA